GTTACTCCCGCTCCCGCTTCCCCCACAGAGTCCTCATCCGTTCCCGAAGTAGCAGAGTCACTTGACTCTCCAGGCAGGTTATTTTTTCTGATATAATTAGAGTATGCCCGATAGGCAGCCTCCATGTCTTTTACTATTTCATCCGCTGATATACCTGTTACTGGAGCGATGATCTCTCCCAGAGTCTTCTTTAAATCTTCTTTTCCAATTTCAGGCACCCCCTGAAATCTGAGAGTCGCCTGAGGCTAGATAGACAGGCTAGATAGACAGGTGGCCTGAGAAAAGGCCTTCATGGTCAATGATGCCAAAAGTATGGAATTCATTCCCCAGGGGGATTTGTCTGTACCTGTCTAGCATCACCTCCTGCTAGACCAGGGGTGTCAAACATGCGGCCTGGGGGCCAGAACAAGCCCCCAGAGGGCTTTTATCAGGCCTGCAGTGGAACTGTTTTCTGCTTCTTCTTCCAGTTCTGCTGCTGCTGTGTCATCGTAGGTTTGCAGCTTACAGATACACACCTGAACAGCATACTCAAGATTGCAACAGCACAGACATTTTGATGCAATAATTCAGAGCAAGAGGTGTCCGTTATCACACACTGCTAAATAAACACAATACTGCACGTGCTAATGTTTTAAGCATGCTTTTATTTTACATTAAAAAAAACCCTTTGTGTTTGTGTCCTTCATAAAGTTTATATCTCCACTACCTGGCATGACATTTTATGGCACAGGTCTTGTTTATGTCAGATCCGGCCCTCATAACAAATGAGTTCGACACCCCTGTGCTAGACCTTGCCAGACTGTAGAGAAATGCCTTGTCTCCTGAGAGGTTGGACACGAGCAGGGCTTCACTGTTGTTGTTGTTCAGTCGCACAGTCGAGTCCGACTCTTCACGACCCCATGGACCAGATCACGCCAGGCCTTCCAGTCTTCCGCCGTCCTCTGAAGTTGGCTCAATTTCATGTTCGTTGCATCGATGACACTGTCTAACCACCAGGGTATTGTAAACAGATCAGCCAATATCATAATGCCCCTACATAAATCAATGGTGCGACCTCATCTGAAATACTGTGTGCAATTCTGGTCACCACACCTTAAAAAGGATATTATAGCTTTAGAAAAAGTGCAGAAAAGGGCAACTCGAATGATAAAAGGGTTGGAACACTTTCCCTATGAGGAAAGGTTAAGGCGCTTAGGGCTCTTTAGCTTGGAGAAACGACGACTGAGGGCTGACATGATTGAGGTTTATAAGATTATGCATGGGAAAGAGCAGGTAGAGAAAGAGGTACTTTTCTCCCTTTCTCACAATACAAGAACTCGTGGGCACTCCATGAAATTGCTGAGCGGTCGGGTTAGAAGGGATAAAAGGAAGTCCTTCTTCACCCAAAGCGTGATTAACACTTGGAATTCGCTGCCACAGGAAATGGTGGCGGCTACAAGCATGGACGGCTTCAAAAGGGAATTAGATAAGCATATGGAGCAGAGGTCCATCAGTGGCTATTAGCCACAAGGTATAGATAGGGACTCTGGGGCAAGTGATGCTCTGTCATCTTGGGGCTTGGGGGGGTCAACAGTGGGAGGGCTTCTAATGTCCTGGCCCCACTGGTGGACCTCCTGATGGCACTGGTATTTCTGGCCACTGTGTGATACAGAGTGTTGGACTGGATGGGCCTTTGGCCTGATCCAACATTGGCATCTCTTATGTTCTTATCCTTTGCCGTCCCCGTCTTCTTTGACCTTCAATCTTTCCCAGCATCAGGGTCTTCTCCAGTGAGTGCTCCCTTCTCATTTGGTGGCCAAAGTATTTGAGCTTCAGTTTCATTATCTGGCCTTCCAAGGAACAGTCAGGGTTGATTTCTTTTAGGATTGACTGATTTGATCTTCTTGTAGTCCAAGGGACTCTCAAGAGTCTTCTCCAGCACCATAGTTCAAAAGCATCTATTCTTCAACGTTCAGCCTTCCTTATAGTCCAACTCTCGCACCCATACATGACTACTGGGAATACCATTGCTTTGACCATGCGGACTTTTGTTGGCAGGGTGATGTCTCTACTTTTTGGAAGAAAAAGTACATTCACTGTACGGTTTTGACTATTTCCCCCCCTCTGAGCTAAGAACAAGCAGGAGGGAGGAGGGAATTAGCCAAGGGCCTTCCAGACACATATCTTAAGATATGCTAATGGATCTAGCAGGAGAGATAATGGAATGGGCGAGTTCACCCCCCTTCCCTCCAAGCAGGGAAAAGAGGTGGAGGTATTAATTGCTAGACAGGTTACAGGAAGGGACTTCCTGGAGACAACAGAAAAAGATGCCTTGACCTGGGCTGACCTGGGAGCAAGGGGGAGGGGAAACAGGAGTAATAAAATCTTCCAAGCAATAGGAAATAGTTCTCTTTCTTTGGGGTGCTGCTTTCCTGATAGGGAGGACACACAGAGACTCTCCTCTGAGCATGCAGCCATTGACTATTGTCAGGGGCAATGTTCCCTCTAAGTTGTGGAGTCTTATGAGCAAAAATTCTACTTTGTGAGCTACTGGGATTAAAGTTGTGAGCAAGTGATTTGGCTATTGCATAAATTAGTTTGCTCTGGAGCCATCCTTCCTGAGCTAACAAAAATGTGTGAGCCGGAGGCTAAAAACTGTGAGCTAGCTCACACTAACTCAGCTTAGAGGGAACACTGGTCCAAGGAATCCGTAAAACTCTCCTCCAACGCCGCATTTCAAACAAATCCACTTTCTTTCTGTTGGCCTTCTTCCTTGTCCAACTTTCACATCCATAAAAGGCAAAGGAGAATATATGTGAGTGTTGAGTGTCTTCAAGTCGCTCCTGAGTTAAGGCCACCCTATGAATTAATGACCTCCGAAACACCCTATCCTATTACCATAGTATGAATACAGGCACCCAGCGCCCCTACATATTCTGCCTATATGTAACTGCAACCTGTACGAGATTCCTGAAAGCTACAAAGGCCTCTACAGCCAGTGGGCCACACAGTTTCCAAGGATCTGCACCCTTTCTCTCGACTTGCCATGAAAACCCTCCCCTTTGCATCCAGAGAATCGGCCCCAAACCTCTGGCAGGGCTGACGACCGGCCCTGAGACCAACTCTGCTTTGCCTCCAGCATCTCCCCCCCCCAAAAAAAAGAGAGAGAGAGAAGTTTAAAAGGACGGGGTTATTTCCCCCCCCCCCGCGGGTCTCTGCTCAAAGCCAGCAGGGAGGGAAGGCAGGCAGGAAAGGCGCCTGGCAAAGGAGGCAAGCGCCGCGCAGAAGGAGCAGGGGCGCCCTCGCCCGGCCCGGCTCGCAAGGAGCCAGCCCGGGTCCTCCGCCGCCGCCGTGGCTGTCGCACATCGCCGGGCTCGCCGAGCCAGCCCCTCCCGCACGCCTGATGCTGCTGCCGCGGTGCCTTCCCCCGGCTTGGATCATGGCTTCGCACTCCTCGGCTCAACCCGCCGCGCAAACTTTCCCGGCTGCGTCTGGACCAAGAGGCGCCTGGTAAGGCGGAGAGAGAGAGACAGCCGTGGTGGGTGGGTAGGTGAAGGGCGATTGCTTTTAATCAGTCGGGGGGGACCGGGCGAGAGGCTGGAGCCGAGCTGCAGCGTTTCTAGGGCGCCGCCGAGTTCGCCAAGTGGCCAGGCGCTGCGCTCTCGTGGGCGGCCTCTTCTTCGGCAAACATCGGCCGTGGCACCCTCTTTGCGATCGGACTGAGGGGGGGAGAAGTGGGGGCGCCCCCCCCGCCAAAGGGGGGGGGGGGGGGGTGTGGGGGGGGGGGGGGGGGGAGAGAGAAGAGAGGAAAGATTCCCATGCAAGCGACTGTGGGAGGGTGGAAGGAGGCGGACAAAATACGAAAAGGCACCAAACTTTCCCCCTCCTCCTCCTCTCCAAAACAAACCTCTTTTTGGAGGGAGAGGCGGGCATTGCCTTCTGCAGCCGAGGCGAACTTGCAACGGCGGCGCTGCCCTCGCCTGCACCCGGGGACTACGCTGGGCTTTCTGCGCCTCCTTGCAAAGCTTGTCTCTCTTTTCTCTCTCCACCCCCCCCCCTTCCAAGAGGAGGGCGAATTTGGGTTTCCTGTAAATTTCCCGAACGGAGGAGGGGACTGGCGAGAGCAGCAGCAGCAGCAGCAGGGCGGCGGAGGGGAGCGCGCGCGAGAGAGCGAGAGAGCAAAGGGGTGGGCGGGCGGCGAGGGAGCGGGGAGAGAATGACATATTGTCTGGCGGGGGAGGGGAGGGAGGCCGGCCCTTCCTTCCCCATTGGAGCGGGCGCCGGTGACGCGCGGAGCCGCTGCTGGCTATTTGAGGCAGGAGGGAGGAGGAGGCGGAGGTAGCAGCCGCCGCCGCCAGGGCGAAGGAGACGGTCCGGGAGGCACATAACACGTTGGGACGCGTGCACACGCGGACGGGCACGCCGGAGCCTTTGCGATAAAAAAAGAGAGAGACGCGGTTGCAAGAAGGCGACGAGGTTGGGAAGGGCGATGCAGAGGGCCGGGGGAGGGCAGCCCTCCGCGGATACAGGAGGGAGCTCCGCCTGCCTGCCTGCCTGAGCAGGATTAACTCCCCCGCCGCCGCCGCCGCCGCACCAACGCAGCCATCTGCGGCTTGTTGCAAAGGAGGCGTCCCTTTGCGAAACTTGGATCGCCGCCTTTGCACGCTCGGGCCCGCCGCTGGGATTTGGGGTGCTGCCGCTGCGGTTTCAAAACCGACGGGGGTCTGTCGCCCCGAGTGCGCGGGGCTTGCGGCCCGCTGGCAGCAGAGAGAGAAGGCGAGAGAGAGTCTTCGCGGATGAGCCGCTGAGAAACGAAACCAGGCGAGTTCCTCCCGCCCGCCCTCCCGCCCTCCCCGGGCAGAAGTTCGGGGGAGCTGCCGCGTCCTCCGGGGGAAGCCGACGCGCGGCTCGAACGCGTCCGATTCGGGGAGGGGAGCCAGTGCTCCGGATCCGATTTGGGACAACCCCCATCCGCGCCGCTCCTCTTCCTGGCCAGGTGAGCCGCTGGCGATGAGTCATTAGGGCATCATCCCTCCTCCTCCTCCTCCTCTTCCAGCGCCTCCTCCAGGAACACAAAAGAGCTCCCAAATTTTATGACTGCAAAGTCCTTGGGCTGAGCTCCGCCGGCAGCGACGCGAACCGGCCTCCTTGGCCTTAAAGGCAGATTTTCCCGGGTTCTCGGTGGCCGTCGGGACTGCGCTCTGATGTGGGCCCCCCTCTCCCCCAGCCGATGCCCCCGGACCATGGTTGCTTCCGAGGCCGGATCATGAAGTGTTTGACTTTCTTTCTTCTGCTTCCAGAGACCTTAAAGAAGTCCAAAAAGAGCGTGAGGGCCGGCAAGGGGCCAGCATGCTATGAGGCCGGGGCCCCCCTCGCCCTCCAGAAGAAGATGGCTGCGGAACTTTACCCGGCCAGCGCCAACAACACCAACCTCGCCAACAGCAACGCCGCCGCCAACAGCAAGAAGAACGCCCTGCAGCTCCAGCAGAGCGCGCAGCCCCCGCCGCCGCCGCCCCTGCAGAACCTCAACAACAACAACTTGGAGAGCGCCAACTGGCAGTCCTTCCACCCGACCCTGCGGGAGAGGTAAGCCCGGGGACGCCGGACCGGCCGCGGTGGAGCAGCTCCCTCCCCAGACAAGGCGCAAACGCGCACCCAACGCCCGGCAGGTGGAAACCCGGGCATGCTCCCGCTGCAGCCTGGTTTGCTTCCGCGCACCCCCGGCGCCAGCCAACTAGCAGGGAAGTTGCACGGGGAGCCACAGACGAACTTTTGGCTGCCCCGGTGGCATTGCTACCTGTCTTGTCTGCTGTCCCCCTGCCTCCTTGGGGGAAGGCCAGACGCCGGTGGGGAAGAGCTGTTGCCCCGGGGACTGGAGGTCAGGGAGCCTGGGGGGTAAGGACAGAGGTCAGTTCCCCCAGAGAACATGGATGCTTTTGGAGGGTGGACGCGATGGGCTTGGCATCCCGCGGGGGTCCCTGTCCTCCCCAGGTTCCATCCCCAAAGTTCCAGGAGTTTTTCAAGGTGCCCTAACTGGTGCCAAGACACAGAGGTGCAGGCGGCACCAGGAAAGAAAGAAGGCAAAAGGATGGACGACTTGCCGAGCTGTGAAATGGGTCTGGGGTCGGTTACTGTTTTTCAAGGTGCCCTAACTGGTGCCAAGACCAGGTGCAGGCAACACCAAGAAAGAAAGAGTGCAAAAGGATGGACAACTTGCAGAGCTGTGAAATGGGGCTGGGGTCGGTTACTGCTGTTTTGTTTACCGGGCCCTTTCTCTCCCCCCCCCTTCCCGTAAATCCGCAGGAACGCGCTCATGTTCAATAACGAACTGATGGCTGACGTGCATTTTATTGTGGGCCCCCTGGGGGCGGCCAAGAAAGTTCCGGCTCACAAGGTTTGTGGTGGGATTTCCCCCCTTTTCCCCCAGTAACGTGGCACGAATCCACCTCGGGACACTCAGAGCAGGTTTATCAGGAGATGCTTGAACCCCCACCCCTTGCCTCCCCGGTTTCTGCTAACTCCTCGCCTCAAATTCCGTCTTCTTCCAGGACCCCTAGAACCAGTATTGTACAAAATGCAGTGAAGCAGTGTTCTAACTACACGAAAAATTGGGCAAATAGTGCATGCTGAAAACAGCGGGGGGGGGGGAGGAGGGGATTTTGTTTTGAAACCAGATACTGAACATCTTTTAGACTGAACAAACCTGCATTAATACATCCCAGTCTAAGCCTATTTATAGCTGAAATGATGCCCCGCAGGGGAAGGGAGGGATTTCCTGCCCTTTAGTGTTCAGGGACTGCAGACTTCACTGCTGCCTTCTCAACAGAGCTGCCAACCCCACTGTAGCTGACTTGGGATATTTTTGTTTGTTTGTTTGTTTTACGCAGTACGTTTTGGCAGTTGGTAGCTCTGTCTTCTATGCTATGTTTTACGGAGATCTCGCAGAGGTCAAATCTGAAATCCATATACCAGATGTGGAACCGGCAGCTTTCCTAATCTTATTAAAGTAAGTAGCAAGTCAAGACAGCTTGGGATGACTCGCGTCAATCGTGCCCTGTGGGTTCCCCCCCCCCACGTCATTTAGCGGTGTGGGGAAAAAATGCCTTTAAGCACCTGATAGGATGTGAAATTCATGCTAGGTGCGGAATTGAGACTTTTTTCACTTAAAGGGGTGTTTCTGTTACCGATAGGTATATGTACAGTGACGAAATTGACCTAGAAGCAGACACGGTGCTCGCTACTCTCTACGCCGCCAAGAAGTACATCGTCCCCGCGCTGGCAAAGGCTTGCGTCAATTTTCTGGAGACCAGCCTAGAGGCCAAGAACGCTTGCGTCCTGCTGTCTCAGAGCCGACTCTTTGAGGAACCGGAGCTGACGCAGCGCTGCTGGGAAGTCATCGATGCGCAGGCCGAGATGGCGCTGAAGTCGGAGGGCTTCTGCGAGATAGACCAGCAGACGCTTGAGATCATCGTCACCCGGGAGGCGCTGAACACGAAGGAGGTGGTGGTCTTCGAGGCCGTTCTGAACTGGGCCGAGGCCGAATGTAAGAGGCAGGGCCTGCCAGTCACGCCCCGGAACAAGCGGAATGTATTAGGGAAAGCTTTATACTTGGTACGGATTCCAACCATGACCCTGGAAGAGTTTGCCAACGGAGCGGCTCAGTCCGACATCCTCACGCTGGAGGAGAGGCACAATATTTTCCTGTGGTATACCGCCGCCAACAAGCCCAAGCTTGAGTTCCCGCTGACGAAAAGGAAAGGGCTCGTGCCCCAAAGGTGCCACCGGTTCCAGTCCTCCGCCTATCGCAGCAATCAGTGGAGGTACCGGGGTCGCTGCGACAGCATCCAGTTCGCTGTCGACAAACGGATATTTATAGCCGGACTGGGGCTGTACGGGTCCAGTTCGGGGAAAGCCGAATACAGCGTCAAAATCGAACTGAAGCGGCTGGGGGCCGTTCTCGCCCAGAACCTGACGAAGTTCACCTCCGACGGATCTAGTAACACTTTCTCGGTGTGGTTTGAGCACCCCGTGCAGGTGGAGCAGGACACTTTTTACAACGTCAGTGCCATTCTAGATGGCAACGAACTCAGTTACTTTGGCCAAGAGGGGATGACTGAGGTGCAGTGTGGCAAAGTGACATTCCAGTTCCAGTGCTCTTCGGACAGCACCAACGGCACAGGAGTACAGGGGGGGCAAATCCCAGAACTCATTTTCTATGCATGATGCATTTCACTTAGGTTGTATTCCGGTGCTGCTATGCATGCAGTAAGGGGATACTCTTTAATTTCACTGCAGCCGCAGTACGGAATGTTACCCTACTTATCTACTTACCATCAAGCTATCCAACTAAGTGAAGGAATGCTCTTGAATTTAATCTTATTTTATTTATTCCTAAACTATTTGACTTAATTATTAAACTGCACCGCGCAGGGGGAAAAAGGGGGAGGGAGGAAGAGGAAAGGGTCTAAAATTCTGCACGTACCGTGCGTTTATTTTGTATATAGATAAAACTAACAGCTGACTCAAACGGAATGTTCTAAAGTAGAGCGGTTTGAGAACGTTGGATATAAAAACATTTTTACTTGTCCTAAAACCTGGTGTGCTTTGTTGACTAGTGGTCCCTCCACGGCTCGTTTCCACATTTTGGCGTGACTCTGCTTTACAACGGGAGGATAAATGCATTACTGCAATCCTGTACCTATTTATGCAAACTTACCAGCGGCAGTAAGAGCCGAACTCCCCTAACTGCCTGTAGGACTGTACTGCATAAGGGATATTTACTGTGCTGTTTACCAAGGTTCTGGCAATGGCTTGAAATAGGTGGGATTCAGCAGTGACAGGTCACGAAAGTCCTCCCCCTCCCGAGCAGTGACGTGGGGCGGAAAATTTTTCAACGTGTTCTTTTTCCACCCTACGTGTGTAAATAGGGTCTGTTTATCTATCTGGAGTTGCCGTGCTGCAAGTCAATCATGCTAGACGGGCTAAAAGGGCAGCCACCGCCTCCCCGTGCCTGATGTATTTGCCTTCATAAGTACCCATGCACCCGGTTTCCAAACCATTAGGGGCAGAAAAGATAATGGTGCTGAGTACCGGATCCTTTGTATATTCCGGTGGCAGAAGTGGCGTTGTCTCTTTGTCTTCCTCTGCCCTGTGATGCCCTGTGACCCCAAAAGACACGGCCAGAAGACCCTTGCAGACAAAGCACTGCGCCGGTTGTGATGAGAAGGGAAGTCAACCAAGGTTGCTACTCCACCCCCTTCATTCAGTGGAATGTCCGTAGACTCCAAGCCCTTGCGGTGATGAGAAGGGAAGTCAACCAAGGTTGCTGCTCCACCCCCTTCATTCAGTGGAATGTCCCTTGTGATGTGGTAGAAGACACATGAAGCTGCCTTCTACTGAATCAGGCCTTTGCTCCGTCAAGGTCAGTCTTGCCTGCTTAGACTGGCAGCAGCTCTCCAGGGTCTCAGGCAGAAGGCTTTCACATCACCCGCTGCCTGGTCCTTTTTACTAGAGATGCTGGGGCTTGAACCTACGGCCTTCTGCGTGCCAAGCAGATGCTCGGCCACTGAGCCGCAACCCCTCCCTAGCTACCTCATACAGAGCCAGACCAATGGCCCATCAAGATCACTTATTGTGTACTGTGACTGGCTCTCCAGGGTCTCGGGCAGAGAGGTCTTTCACATCACCTACTACCTGGTCCTTTCTTAAGTGGAGACGCTGGGGGTTGAACCCGGGACTTCCTACAAGCATAGCAGATGCTCTACCACTGAGCATCCCTCTCCACTTTGAGGGTGGAAGGAAGGCTAGCTACATAATCCTAATTAACAAAAATCTGATTCGTACAATGCAGCGGTCTCCAGGAAGAGTGCCATTCTATCAGTCCGTCCATTTATACCTATACAGAAGATCGAAACACAGGCAACAAAAATGCGACAATTAACAAAAATCTGATTCGTACAATGCAGCGGTCTCCAGGAAGAGTGCCATTCTATCAGTCCGCCCATTTATACCTATACAGAAGATTGACACACGGGCAACAAGAATGCGACTGATGGACAATGCTCCCTCTAAGCTGTGGAGTCTTGTGAGCAAGAATTCTACTTGGTGAGCTACTAGCATTAAAGTTGTGAGCCAGCAATTTGGCAGCTGCATAAATTAGTTTGTCCTGGAGCCATCCTTCCTGAGCGAAGGCAAAAATGTGTGATCTGGAGGCTAAAAAAATGGGAGCTAGTTCACACTAACTCTGCTTAGAGGGAACACTGCATGGACCTCACGTTCTACCCCACCCAGCATGGTGTAGTGGTTAGAGTCTCAGACTAGGCTTTGGGAGACCCAGGTTCAAATCTCCAGTCTGCCATGGGAGTTCACTGGGTGATCTTGGGCCAGTCACCCATATTCAGCCTAACCTACCTCACCGGGCTGTTGTGAGAATAAAAGAGGAGAATGATGTAAGTTGCTTTGGGTCCCCATTGGGGGAAAAGAAGGGTAAGTAAAGTAAAGGTTCCCTTGCTCGAAAGCCAGTCGAGTCCGACTCTAGGGTTGCGGTGCTCATCTCCGTTTCAAAGCCAAAGAGCCAGCGCTGTCCGAAGACGTTTCCGTGGTCATGTGGCCGGCATGACTAAACACCAAGGCGCACGGAACGCTGTTACCTTCCCACCAAAGTGGTACCTATTTATCTACTTGCAATTTCTTGCTTTTGAACTGCTAGGTTGCTTTGGGTCCCCACTGGGGGAAAAGAAGGGTACAAAGGAAATAAACCCATATTATAATCACTGGAGGTTAGAAAACGGGCCATATTTATTGCCCCCTTTTCAGCTATGTGAACTAGATTCAGTTAAACAAATGTAAGAGTCCAGTGGCACCGTTAAGACCGACAAAGTTTTATTCAAGGTATGAGCTTTCATGCGCGTGCACACTTCTTCAAATATATTGGGGAAAATACATTTTGAAAAAGTGTGCATGCATGCACACAAAAGCTCATACCGTGAAGAAAACTCTGTTGGTCTTAAAAGATGCCACTGGACTCTAAATTTGCTCTACTGCTTCAGACCAACACAGCTGACCCACCTGGATCTAGACCCAGTTAAAGATGGAGATTTTACCGTATACTTTTCAAATCTTGTTTTCTGAATAGCGTTGACACCTGTGCTCTTACAGTCTTTCTTTGAGGTAGAGTTTGCTACCAACTCGTGCCTCTGCACTGATTCCCAAAGTGGGCAGTACTGCCCCCTCGGGGGCGCTGGGACGATCCAGGTGCAGATCCACAAACTGGATCTTTTTGTCCACTTCTTGAAGGTAGATGTCCAGGGGGGCGCTGAATAATTATTTTTTTTCTGAAAAGGGCGGTCGGCCAAATAAGTTTGGAAAGCTCTGCTCTACAGTTGTTGTTGTTCAGTCGCACAGTCGAGTCCGACTCTTCGCGACCCCACGGACCAGATCATGTCAGGCCCTCCGGTCTTCCGCCATCCTCTGAAGTTTGCTCAACTTCATGTTCGTTGCATCGATGACACTGTCTAACCATCTCATCCTTTGCCGTCCCCGTCGTCTTTGACCTTCAATCTTTCCCAGCATCAGGGTCTTCTCCAGTGAGTGCTCCCTTCTCATTTGGTGGCCAAAGTATTTGAGCTTCAGTTTCATTATCTGGCCTTCCAGGGAACAGTCAGGGTTGATTTCTTTGAGGATTGACTGATTTGTTCTTCTTGCAGTCCAAGGGACTCTCAAGAGTCTCCTCCAGCACCATAGTTCAAAAGAATCTATTCTTCGGCGCTCGGCCTTCCTTATAGTCCAACTCTCACAGCCATACATGACTACTGGGAATACCATTGCTTTGACCATGCGGACTTTTGTTGGCAGGGTGATGTCTCTACTTTTTATCATGCTGTTTAGGTTCGCCATCACTTTCCTCCCAAGGAAATCTTTTAATTTCATGGCTGCTGTCACAGTCTGCGGTGATCTGGGATCCCAGGAACGTGAAGTCTGTCACTACTTCCACGACTTCCCCTTCTATTTGCCAAGGAGTGATGGGGCCGGATGCCATGATCTTAGTTTTTTTGATGTTGAGCTTCAAGCCCACTTTTGCGCTCTCCTCTTTTACCCTGAGCAAGAGGCTCTTTAGGTCCTCTTCACTTTCTGCCATTAGAGTGGTATCGTCTGCATATCTGAGGTTGTTGATCTTTTCCCCAGCAATCTTAATTCCCGCTTGTGATTCATCCAGGCCAGCATTTCGCATGATGTACTCTGCATATATATTAAATAAGCAAGGCGACAATATACATCCTTGTCGTACTCCTTTTCCTATGCTGAACCAATCAGTTGTTCCATATCCGGTTCTAACTGTCGCTTCTTGGCCCTTATACAGGTTTCTCAAGAGACATGTGAGGTGGTCTGGTACTCCCATCTCTTTAAGGACCTGCCATAGTTTGTTGTGATCCACACAGTCAAAAGCTTTAGCATAGTCAATGAAGCAGAAGTAGATATTTTTCTGGTACTCTCTTGCTTTCTCCATAATCCAGCGAATGTTGGCAATTTGATCTCTAGTTCCTCTACCTCTTCGAAACCCAGCTTGTACTTCTGGTAGTTCTCTATCCACGTACTGTTGAAGCCTAGCTTGTAGGATCTTGAGCATGACCTTGCTAGCGTTTTGTCCTTGAAGGTAGATGTCCAGGGGGGCGCTGAGTAATTTTTTTTTTTCTGAAAAGGGGGCGGTCGACCAAATAAGTTTGGGAACCTCTGCTCTAGAGTAACCTAGGGTAAAATTGGTTGTGTAAGTGTATATAGCCCGGTCTAGTATCACTGTTCTTACAAAATCAGACATTGCAGGCAAAATACCGATACTCGAGTCGAGATCATCCTGAATTAGGATAGACTGTGAAGGAGGGCGTGTGCAGCTGGCCTAATAACATACTTGCTCGGATACAAAGAATAGTGCAATTCGGTTGGTGTGCCTGGGGGGGGAGATGGGGGGGGTTGGATTTACTACTTCCCGAATAGCTGGCCCTCCGTTTCTACATGGTAGATTGATTGCTTTTGAAACTGAAAGGGCGAATTTCAAAAATATTTTTGCAATGTGGCACGAGAGCCAGCTATGCAGTCAAAAAAAAAGTAGGCATACATAGTGCCCTAATTTTATTGTATGCAGTTCTCGAGGCCTCACTTCCAAAAGGATGTGGGCAGAATGGGGTGGGTGCGGACGAGAGGGACGAGGATGACTGGGGGGCCTGGAGACCCAGCCCTGTGAGGAAAGGCTGAGGGACTTGGGAGTGTTCAGTCTGGAGAAGAGGAGGCTGAGGGGGGACAGGATGGCTCTCTTGAAGTATCTGAAGGGCTGTCCCTTAGAGAAGAGGGCAGGGAGCTGTTCCTCTCGGCAGCAGAGGAGAGGAGTCGCAATCATGGGTTTAAATTAAGGGCAGGAAGGTACCGGCTGGGTATTAGGGAAAACTTATTTTACAGTAAGTTGTGCAAGAGTGGAATCAGCTGCCTTAGGGAGGTGGTGAGCTCCCCTTCACTGCCTATCTTTAAGCAGCAGCTGGACAAACACTTGTCAGGCTGACCCTGCACTGAGCAGGGGGTTGGACTAGATGGCCTGTAGGGTCCCTTCCAACTCTGTGATTCTATGAATTTACTCTTTGGAGCCTGGGCACTGTTTTTGGCCATTATAGAAGAGCCATGTTGCAAGATTACCACGGACAAACTGACATAAAAAATAGCCAAACAACTTTGGGATGCTCCCATGTTGGGATACTCAATACAAATCCTCCTTGATGTATCCCCCTGTGTAACAGTTCCTACAAACTGATCGTGCCAAATCGTTGGTTACACGGTTGTGGTTCAGTGATATTCAGTGGTTCAGGAGCCAGATGTGGCTCTTCTGAGCCCCATTTCCCAACATGGTGCCTGCCCTACATTTCAGGAAAGCGGGAAGGCCCTTGTGCAATGGGGCTTCTGATTAGGCAGTGGTTCCCACCTTGAAACGTCCACTGTTGAAGGAGATAGTAAGCGGCAAGCCTCCCAATGGTGCCATTCTCATGCCAGAGATGAAAATAAACTTTTTTTGGCTAAGATAACTGCAAATGTGGCAGTCTCTGAGCTGCAGAGCGAGTAGTACTGCCTTAAATCAACCAGACTGCAGCCATGTTTGGTGGCCTCTATTGTACTCTTATTATAAACGGACATTCCGCAAAACATCCCAAGGAACCGTGTATTCCAGCCCGAAAAGCAAGTTAGTCCAATGGCATTTGGAATAGCTGTGGGCAGCTAAAAGACATCCTGGAAGCCCCCAATTCACACGTCAAGCCACCTATGACTTCTTCTCAGCCCCTGCCTTCCGTTTCTGTTAACAGTGGCTAAAATTTTGGTCATCAGTCAAGGGTAAGTGGAGGCGTCTGACACTCTGTGGTCTATTTTGGAACCTTCTGGCATTTCCTGCTTGAAATATTAAGTGCCTATATGCAATTACCCATTTTGTGACATTTACAACGATCGGTACACTTTTGGGGGGAACAAAACAGTCCATCAAGCATCCAAGCGGTACTGTTACCAATTGTAGATACGTCAGAAGTGAAAGATCACTGCTGGTTGACTACATAATGTTATTTCCTAGCATTGTTTACGAGCACATACATAGATCTGCCTGATACTGAGTAAGGCCATTGGCCCATCAAAAGTCAGAATTGTCTACTCTGACTGGCAGCAGCTCTCCAGGGTCTCAGGAAGAGGTCTTTCACATCACCTACTACCCAGTTCTTTCACATGGGAGATGTCAGGGATTGAACCTGGGAACTTCGACATAAAAAAGCAGATGCTTTATCAATGTGCCACAGCCTGGTTCCCAAAGCAAATCTTTGGTCAACAAAACAGCTCCACAACGGTTCCGCCTAAACTAGTTTTTGGCCAGGGTTATCAAGACAACAGTTATCAAGAACTGATTATGACATCAAAATGGCACTGGAAAGATTTACTTCGATTCCTCCAAGGTTGCTCATCAAGTGCCACTCTCTAAAAAGATGATTATAGTAATAAAAAATTATGTGCCATCTAGTCACAAAACTTGTGAATTTCCTGCATTTTGCAGGGGGTTGGACTAGATGACCCCGGAGGTCCCTTCCAACTCTGGTTCTATGACTTATGGGGTTTTCAAGGCAAGAGACATACAGAGGCTGTTTGCCATTGCCTGCCTCTACATTGCGATGTCTTCCTCGGTGGTCTCTCATCCACGTACTAACCACGGCTGACCCTGCTTAGCTTCTGAGATGTGACAAGTTTGGCCTAACCTGGGCTATTCAGGCTACTAAAAAGATTATTACAACCATCAAAATAGCAATTGGCCTCTGCCTACAGTGAAAGACCACTTGTTTCAGAACATACCTGATGGTAATTTTGTTTTCATGATCTAGATCTTTAAGCTACCATTTCCCATACGCGAAAACGTATTAAAAATACATTAAGCACCCTTGGAGAGAAAATTCATCCTCCCACACAACTCTGTTTCCATGTTACAGGGCAATTCCAGACAACTCACACAAACACACACACAAAGGAGCCTTATACTGAAATCAGACCATCGGTCCATCAAGAATGTTGTCTACTCAGACCGGCAGCAGCTCTCCAAGGTCTCAGGCAGAGGTCTTTCACATCACCTACTACCCAGGGCCGGCCTGTTATTGTTAAATTTTAGGCTGTCGCCTAGGGTGATGGCTCGACGAGGGCGCCATTCTGGCCGGCCTCGTCCCCTCCTCGCCCCGCACAGGAAGCCTCCCTTGCCGGCTTCTTGCTCCGTCCCCGGCAAGAGACTCACTTCTTTGCAGCCCCCCAGACAGAAAGAGAAGGAGGCGAGGGGGGGACAGGGAAGAGCCCAGGACAACGGGAAAGTGCCGCTCGTCCTCTGCCACCGCCACCCCCATGGTCTCTTTGGAGCTCCTTTTACAGCCTGGCACAGGCCCCCTCCCCTCGAGTGATCCTCCCCGCATACATTTGCAGCTCGCCCCCTCAGCCCACCAGCTGCGGCTCCAGCACCTGCCCCTATCCCGCCCCGCATGGGGGGGCGCGCCAGAATGTATCCTCAACTATTGGGTGAAAAAACCTGGGGCCATCTCTGCTACTACCCAATCGTTTTAACTGGAGATGTTCGGGGACTGAACCTAGGACGTTATACATGTCAAGCAGATACTCTACCAGAGCTACAGACCCTTCCCTAATGTGGTACAGCCCCCACCCAAGCAGGCTGAGCCTCCTATTGGTTAAGAATGCACAGCCACGCTATGGATGCTCTTTCCAGTACAGGGCTCCGAGTTCAAGCAAATCTGTTGTTAAAGTTTTCAAACGTTCATCATGGGCTACCACTAGTCAGTTCCACAAGTCGTTAATTTTCACCATTTGTAAACGTTTCCATCTGATCTATTTCTGCGGACTCTAAAATCGAGAACTGCATGCTCAGGCTAAAGCAAAGCCATTCATTTTTACCGATACTTAAGAAACAAACGGACAGAAGTAACCAGAAGAGGAAAGTGTATCTTGTTCATGCTGGATAACAAGAGAAACCACGGCAACGTTTTTTTACTCTAAGGTTAACTCTCCAATCTGACTGGCAGCTTTCATCTCTGGGCTCATCTGGATTTAATTTTGAAATCCCTTTATAATATATGCTTAAAGGCATTTATGTAAATGTTTTAGCTGCAAGAAGCTGCCAGGAAATTACAGCCACAAGCATAACCCAAAGCCGACTCTTACTTTAAAAAAAATAAATAATTTACCTATAGCAGGAGCGTTTATACAGAGCTCTCGGGCCAACAAGAGGAAAGTTTTTCCTAGCACGTAGACATTCACCTGTACAAGAAGAAGAGGAAAAAAGTTAAATTTGACTCTCATTTTTGTACAACTGTATCTTCCATCAGGCCAATGGTCCATCAAGTCTAGCATCCTCTTTCACACAACAACTAGCTAAATGAGAACATAAGAGAAGCCTTGTTGGACCAGGCCCATGACCCGTCCAGTCCATGTCACACAGTGGCCAAAAATACCAGGTGCTATCAGGAGGTCCACCAGTGGGGCCAGAACTCCAGAAGCCCTCCCACTGTTGCCCCCCAAACTCCAAGAATATAGAACATCACTGTCCCAGATACACTGTCCCATCTATACCTTGTGGCTGATAGCCACTCATGGACCTCTGCTCTTAAGAACACAAGAGAAGCCATGTTGGATCAGGCCAATGGCCCATCCAGTCCAACACTCAGTGTCACACAGTGGCCAAAACCCGGGTGCCATCAGGAGGTCCACCAGTGGGGCGAGAACTCCAGAATCCCTCCCACTGTTGCCCCCCACAAGCTCCAAGAATACAGAGCATCACTGCCCCAGACAGGGTGTTCCCTCTAGGCCTTGTGGCTAATAGCCACTCACATGGACCTCTGCTCCAGATGTTTATCCAATCCCCTCTTGGAACTGTCTATGCTTGTAGCTGCCACCACTTCCTGTGGCACTGAATTCCACGTGTTAATTCCTCTTTGGGTGATGAAGTAAAATGCCCCCAGAAGGTCTACAAACAGGACACAAAAGGCAACAGCCTCCCCCCACCCCAGCACTGGTGTTGAGAGGGTTACTTGTGAATATGGAGGTTCCATTTAGTCATCTTGGCTAATAGCCACTGATGGACCTAGTCACCATAAAACTGTGCAATTCTCCTGCAAAGCTAGCTGGACTAGTACCCACTCCTGAATCCTGTGAATCCCCCAAGCCAATAGCAGTCTGAGTGAAGTACTTCCTTTTGCCTCTCCTAATTGCACTGCCCATCAATATCACTGGATACCTGAGTCAGTGTTATAAGAAAAGGGGGGAAACTATTCCGTTTCCAGATAGATTCAGGTGGATAGCCATGTTGGTCGGCAGTAGAAGACTAAGATTTGCCCTGACACAGATAGCCCAGGTGCCCATCAATATCACTGGATACCTGAGTCAGAGTTATAAGAAAAGGGGAAAAACTATTCCGTTTCCAGATAGATTCAGGTGGATAGCTATGTTGTTCGGCAGTAGAAGAGTTAGATTTGCCCTGACACAGATAGCCCAGGTGAGCCCGATCTCAGAACCTAAGCAGGGCCGACCCTGGCAGTTATTTGGATGGGAGACCTCCAAGGAATACCGGGGCTGGGAGGCACAGGCAGGCTATCGAGCCACTTCTCTGAATGTCCTCCATGCCCCAGTGGGAGTTGCCAGAGGTTGCCATGACTTCCAGGCAAGGGCACACACACACGCATGCGCAGACACACAAAAATGCAAAAACACCCAAAAAAGAGAGGAAGAAGAAGAAGAGATTGGATTTATACCCCGCCCTTCACTACCCAAAGGTGTCTCAGAGCGGCTTACAAACTCCTTTCCCTTCCCCTCCCCACAACAGACACCCTGGGAGGTAGGTGGGGCTGAGAGAGCTCTTGACAGAGACTGCTGTTTTTCAAGGACAGCTCTTATCAGAACTATGGCATGCCCAAGGTCATCCAGCCGGATGCAAGTGGAGGAGTGGGGAACCAAACCCAGATCTCCCAGATTAGAGTCCACGCACTCAACCACTACACCAAACTGCAGCAAACGCTTCTACGTCTGTATCTGCAGAAATGTGCACACACCCGACAGCTTATGCGCAGAATTAAACCGTGTTGGTCTTAAAGGTGCCGCTGGACTCAGACTTCGTTCTGGGATCTGAAGAAGTGTGCGTGCACACAAAAGCTTACACCGAGAATAAAACCTTGTTGGTCTTAAAAGTGCCACTGGACTCAAACTTTGTTCTGGCATCTGAAGAAGTGTGCATGACCCCGAAACATTATACTCAGAATAAAACTGTGTTGGTCTTAAAGGTGCCTCTGGATCCAAACTTTGTTCTGGGATCTGAAGATGTGTGCATGCACACAAAAGCTTATACCCAGAATAAAACTTTGTTGGTTCTTCAGCCTTCCCCTCCCCACAACAGACACTCTGTGAGGCAGGTGGGGCCGAGAGAGCTCTTTCAAGAACTGCCCTTTCAAGGACAGCTCTTGCCAGAACTACGGCTTGCCCAAGGTCATCCAGCCAGGTGCAAGTGGAGGAGGGGGGAATCAAACCTGGTTCTCCCAGATTAGAGTCCGCACACTTAACCACTACACCAAACTGGCCCCAATAGCACTTTAGAGACCAACTAGATTTGGGGGGAATAAGATTTCAAGAGTCAAAGCCCCCCAAGTCAGAGTATCAGATGAAGGGAGCTTTAACTCTTGAAAGCTTATACGCTGGAAATCTTGTTGGCGACTGGACTCAAATCTTGCTCTACTCTATCCACTTTCTTCATCCTTTGCTTTACTGCATATTCCCTGCCGTTCCCCCACCACCACCCCGTTGTCTTCTCTATAAACTTAACAAGCACCAAACTCCATAGCCTTTCTTCATAGGGACAGTCCACCCATGCTTTTTTTTCTCCTTGTACAAAAGTTCATCCGATATGGTCGAACGTTCACCATTCTTATAGGCCAGAAAAGTCCACCCTGGGGGGGAAAACCATACCCTCTGCCAAGTTGACCAAATGTTGGCCATTTATGGTCTCTTGCTCCCCTAAATTTGTCCTTCGGCGGTTTTCTGATCTGTTAGCCTGAATCACAATTTTCACGTGCTCGTACCAGATGCCTGTTGAACAAGGGGTCCTCAGCACGCGGGACACATACTGCCAGCGGGAAGCGGGGTTTTCATAACAATTACTAATGACTTGCTCTTCCTTGATCCCCGTGTCCATCTGCAAGTGTGTTGCAGCATCCCCTGCTGCCCCTACCTGCAACGGATTATCCCGCTGTGACAGTCGATGCCTTGCTCCTAGTAACATCACAAAAAAAAAGGCCTGTAGACATATAAATGTCCTTCTTGGAGGAAAAGTGGACTTTTTGTGTTTCTAACATGGTGGGGTAGAGAGGAGGAGAGGAGATTGAATTTATACCCCGCCCTTCACTCGGAGTCTCAGAGCGGCTTACAGTCTCCTTTCCCTTCCCCTCCCCACAACAGACACCCTGCGAGGTAGGTGGGGCTGAGCGAGCTCTGACAGAAACTGCTCTTTCAAGGAAAGCTCTGACAGAACTGTGGCTTGCCCAAGGTCATCCAGCAGCTGCAAGTGGAGGAGTGGGGGATCAAACCCGGTTCTCCCAGATTAGGGTCCGCACACTTAACCACTACACCAAACGCATGAAGCTGCCTTATACAGAATCAGTAAGGAAGAAAGCACTAAGGAAAAACCATCAGCGGTATGAACTATTCTGTACTAAAATAAAAACAAATTTATTAAGCAATAGTCCATTGCATATTGCTGTTTCACACTAATGCGTTAATTCTATATTGAGGTTTATGGTCACAACCCAACAGTTCCTGTTTATATTAGTACGCTCCCAGGCAAGACTTGAGCCAACTTCAGAGGACGGCAGAAGACAGGAGGGCCTGGTGGGAGATGATCCATGGGGTCGCGAAGAGTCGGACTCGACTGTGCGACTGAACAACAACAATGCAATAATTCACAACAATAATAGCTCTTGAACATGACACAGTACATATGTATGGATGTTACACTGCGCCCTCAGACGACATTCAAAAAGCATCCGTAGACCTTCTGTGACAAAATGATGTCGCTGATGTAAGGCGGAGATTTCCTTTGCAGCTGTGTGCAGCAGGTGTACAGCTGTATGTGTTCCCCAGCTATGCCCACGTTTAAATCTATCTTCCTCTCAAAGTGGCTGCGCACATAACTTGGGACCAGATCTCACAGCATATATTCGTAGAATTATTGCAGACCGACCGTTCTCAACTTGTGCAGAATCTGGAAGTTCTCAAAACTAACTGAAGCGAAGCCCCGTGCAGTATTTGGAAAAAAGACATCACAGAATATATTCGGAGAACCTCTTGATTCGACATAAGCTGAGAACTGCTGGTCTGCAATATTTTTGTGAATGTATTCTGTGAAATCTGGTTCCATTTTATACACACAGCTGCTATGATGTGAGAGAAAGACAGATTGAAACGCGGGCGTACCTGGGAAACGTATACGGCTGTAAACCGGCTGCACACGGCTGCACGGGAAATTTCCGCCTTACATCAGTGACATCGTTTTGTCACGAGAGGTCTATGGACGCTTTCTGTATGTCGTCTGAGGGCACGGTGTAATATCCATACATATGTACTGTGTCATGTTCAAGAGCTATTACTGTTGTGAAGTCGTGCCTGGGAGCGTTCTAACATTATAGACAGTAACTGTCAGGTTGTGACCAATGCTCCCTCTAAGATGAAGGAGCCTCAGAGCGGCTTACAATCTCCTTTCCCTTCCCCTCCCCACAAGAGCTCTGACAGAAACTGCTCTTGAGGGAACAGCTCTGAGAGAACGTGTGAATGACCCAAAGTCACACCAGCAGCTGCATGTGGAGAAGTGGGGAATTAAAGCCGGTTCTCCCAGATTAGAGTCCACACTCCTAACCACTATGCCAAACTGGCTCTCCAGAATGGAAAGTGGTTTAATAGAGCTGTTGACACCATGGAATACATTTCAGACTTGACTCCCTATCATCTCTTGGCAAACAGCAAGCAGAGAGGAGATAAGGCAAGCATATACACTGTCGCTCTGTCACCTCACCTTTGACATTCTGGGGAAAGAAATACAACTATCTGTCTCTGATCTATTCCACTCTATTTGCAGAACAGCCCAATGCAGACAGCTTAGCTATACACAAAAACACTGAAGATCGAGGGCATTAGGGAATGTCTGGCCTAAGAGAGTCCAGTGTTGGGGGGGGGGGAGTTTATCATCAATCGAAGATAGGACGTCCTTCCACCCCGCACAG